GAAAACTCAGTCACGGCCATTCGGTGCGCTTTGTCAGACTGGTCCAACTCATGAGGCATCCTTCACAAAAAATTTTCCGATAACCGAGATTGCGGAGAAGCATGGCAGTTGTCAGTCAGGTGGAGCCTAGAGAGGTTGCCAACTTACTGGTGGTTACGTTCGGCTGCGCCTCAAGAAGCCGTCATTCTGTGGTGGTGGCCGACCTGCACCTTACTCACCTTCAAATTAAATAATTCCGGCTCTCAAGCGCTGATACAAACGGGACACTGCGAGCGACCCCTTTTTGAAGTCAACGGAGGTGGTAGCTCCCTCCACTGCGCCGGAGCGGCCCTACAGGAATTCATAATATGGGATAGGTCAAAAAGTCAAAAGTCACCATAACCTTCAGGGGACTTTCAGGCTTTGAAATCTTCCACGAAGTCATGATATACCCGTCTGCAAAAACCTCAGAGGACACTCTTCACTAATCAATGGTGCAAATATTGAAGAATGTTTTCTGGTCTTTTTCTAGAACAATTTATTCAAAGTGTCGCAGGACTCTCCTTCCAATCTACTATTTATATTTCTTGTGAAGAGCTGTGAGTCACTAGCGCAGAGAAGGATAGACGAGCACTGATAATTCAACAATTGTCAAACCCCTCCCAGACTACTTTCCAAAAGCAGTAAAACCCCACGGCGAGCTAGGACTCCATCTTTTCCTTGAGTGTCAGTCAGATCCACTACCACTGCTCCGGGCCATCACGTTGGATCGTATCTGCACACTATCGATAGGCGTAGGATGACGAGGAACAAAGAGCTACATAAGCTCGATTACCCCCTCTACACCGCAACAACTTTATGCTGTTTTCCCACTGAGTTCTAGGTTGATTATCGGAGATTTTTTTCTGCGTTTCCTTTTTTATGTGTGCCACTGTCAATAGAATGCCGATAATAAATCATAAATCATAAAATCATAACTTGGCTAGAGGTAAGCTCAGCAAACTCTCATGCGGATTCGAGTTAACCTGTGAAAAGACATCGGCTTCTGATCATGTAGGTTTCATTACAAGAAGCCGCTTTGACCCGTAATCCTTCCTAATGAAACCAAGACGCTCGCTACCTCGAAGTAAAAGAGCTGACTAACCATTTTTTGACATATTGCGTATCAACCGCTCTTTGTAGTGATGGCGGTGGATGACCGAGAGCCACCCACCTCTGCATGTGGGACATACAGAATGAAAAAGGTAAAAAAGTTCGGTTACTTTGGGTGTCTGGACGAATCATCGTCACTTCACGGACTCCCAAGGCTCATCAGTGAGAAGATGTCGAGAAGTAGAAGGGAAAATGCCAAATAAAGGTAGCTAAGCTTCTCCCACCATCACAAGTAGGAGAGGTACTGTGAAGCCTAAAAGGATTGACAATGACTACGCCAGAACCTTCACCCTTCACAGCCGAGGACAGATGGATGACTAGCTATAACCCGAGCTGTGCCTCAGTACACCTGTACAGATATGATTCGGATGAAGAGTACAGTCCCACATTGATTTCGGAGGGGGCTCGGACCTGCACGCTACTGTGCCTGCTTACTAATGCGGGAGTACTCCTTGAAGGAACGGGTCGCGATCAAGTATCGAAGATGAAAATATGGCATCGGGAGGATAGTGCGGTCCGCGACTAACAACCCTGTACCGTTTTCGCGGCAAAAAAGTGCAGGGATAAGGCAAAATAGGTCCAGTGGTTCCTCCTTTTTTCCAGTGACTCCGCCTCCCAAGCGCCGCCCTTCAGTGGAAAACCAAGTTGTGGGACGAGAAAAGCATGAAATCTAAGCGGCTTCGTTATTTGTACGGACGTAGGGGTTGTATTGAGTCAGCTGACGCGCCGCAGGAGTGTAATTTTTTACTGGAAATGTGGCTCGCAAAACAGTATTTATTGGCAAAAAGTGCACGGAAACTGCTGGAAGAAAATAGGGCAACACTTTGAATTCTGAAAAGCAAACACACTCAAAAAGAACAAAGAAACATAATGATACGATGAATTCACTGAAAAAATAAGAATATTAAAGGTCAGTCTTTCAAACGTGGCGCCACACCTATTTCTGGCAGCGAGCCAATAACGTGGAACGCTCGTCCATAAGCGCTGTTTCCCCATCGTATGCACGTACAAACTAGGATTGTAATGGGGTCCTATTTAGGTCATTGGGCATGTTTTTTCTGCTTTTTCCTTCACTATTGTTTTACTCTAAACCTTGTCCTTTTATGCGAAGCCTAAATTTTCACTATCTAATAAGATGGCACAATGAGGCGCCGGGCGCTGTCTTTAAAGGCAGTTGGCACGATGGATTTCCTACTTAGCCTAAAATGCTAGTAGGGCGCTGTATAGTGGGGAAATGGCGAAAGAACGGAGTGAAACGGTCAAAATCCGGCGAAGAAAAGCCTCTCCGTTCAGTGACTTGTAAATCGATTTCGGACGAGTTTCCCGTAGGCATCTTACCAATCACCGCTACCGAAGATACGGCTGCATATGTGTACCCATGTATGCATGCAGCATCACGGCCGCTTCATATAAATCCCAACGCTTTATAATTTGCTCAGCAAATGAATGAATACATGCAGAAACGGTCGTCCGTTTGTGGGCGGACGGGCAAGGAAGGCGTTTGGGACGTAAAGTTGTTGCTCAATAGGGCGTTATAGGGGTACCCTCCTTGAAGGCTTCACGCAGCGCCTGTCCGAGGTCACGGAATTCTGTTAAGCCAGTTGTACAAATCCTACACCTGTATAGCGATTTATCGTGCCAACTGCCTTTAAGACGGAAGAGGAAAACGTGCCAATGAGGGAGACGCAGTGGTAGGCCAAGCTCCGCCTATATGGTGAGCTCGTACTGCGCATTTACCTATACAAGCTTTTTTACATTGGCACTACCCTTCCATTCTCGGGAAAGGCCTCACGCTGGATCGACATCCATATATCAAGTAGCTGTGACCTGATGGTTGGCGGAGACGCTGATGGTTGGCGGACGCTGCTGGACGCTGGTAGACGCTACCGTTCGCTAGATCAATATTCATACTGCCCTAGTCGCCGACGCTGACGGACGCTCGAAACGCTTTTGGTCGTCGGTGGTTGCAGGGTGAGTTGCAGAGTATGGATACAGCCTAATCGTGTTAAGCTACAGTGTTAAACATTCACTTTCGCATTCAGGATACCTGTGAATGCTCTGTTCGGATGATAGGATGTTGGATGATATTCAGTGCTAGAAAAAGCACAGAAACGATCATGCGTCAAGGTATGAAAGGTGAAACACTTCAATATTTGGAGAAGTAGATCTGGTGAGAAGAAAATTATCCGTGAAAAGCGTTTGTCAGTGGATTTTCGCTGCTGCACTACACTATCTATACTGCGCAATTTAGAGATACAGTCTTGTTCGTTGGTAGCTGACAAGCGACCACAATTTCTGAAGAGCGGGCCGCGCATTCCAAGCCCATATCCGCCCGATACACCTCAGCTTCTGCAAAAAACAAGAGGGTATTTAGTGAGGCCCTTATTGCCGTGTTCATAATGTAAAGGCTGGCCAATGAAACTGTCATCAAGATAAAATTGAAGAGTCGTTATTCTTGCAAAAAAAAGAGCGGAGATGATAATGCAATTGTGCCCACTTACACATCCATTAAAGGTCCCGATTATGTCCGCTTGCTGAAGAGCACTCAACGCCACAGTCATTTTGTAGGGCTTACGAACAGAATTATATTTCACTTTGCATGAAAATGATGGGGGAGCGGTTTTAACAATGACAGATTCTACTTCCTTGTAACTATCGCTTTATCTCGTTGGTCGCCTTCAACTCACCTCCATAAGACTTTTCGATAGACCCTATGTTTGTATACGATTTTCAGGAATCACGACCCGATCTTTGTTGAAATTTTTCAGACTGTCGGCGCCAAACCTAGCCTGTAGCGCCGAAGTCAAGGGGGACGGAGCCCCGCCGACCCTCGCATTTTCGCGTCCAAAAACCGCTTATTCTAGACAGTAGACAGTCTCGTTCTGCCGCTACAAAGTATTTGATTCGCATAAATGCTTGTCTGCTGGATACCTACAGGGACAGAGTAGGCTCTGTGTAAGAGGAACTCGATGGTATCTGAACAATAGAGAACAACTGAGCTCGAATGAAGCGAACAGTCTGCTGTCACCCTCTTAGACGGCGATGCTCTACGATCCCAGGGCCACGGTGGGGTCAGGGATAGCGTACAGACAATCTCAGTGTTCAAAAAAAACATCAGACAAGACCTACAAAAAAAGGGAGAAAGTCTGCGATAGAACTCCGCCTACTTATCTCTAAACTTGTTGAGAGAAGTATACGTAGAGTTTCGCTTATTTCCACAGTATTCTAGTTATTTCTCAGAAGCCATCTCGACTCTGCCACTCCTCATAATCCCCTCCATGGCAAATCCTTATATAAATCGCTGTATAGTGCCTTTGCGCGGCGGACTGGGAGCGGTGTGCTGGGGGGGGGGGAGGCGACGAACATTCAACGACCAGACGCTTCCTTATCTTGTGACCCGCTGTGATGATGGAACTGCAATGAAAAATTAGCATATTGTGATGAATGCGTAGGACCTCGAAAGAAATCATAATCAAGACTATGAAGATCTAATATAAGGAAAGCAGCAGGAAAAAGTCTCGTGACCTTGAGAGGAAGGAATGACGCCTTGGTGGTCCTGATTCCTCCCTCGCGATCACTGCGTACCTCAGTTTACCAACGTCAGAATTCATTTTTTGCGCTAGTTCCCCAGAATGTTTGTCTTCTCGATTTTCTGCTCGTCTAAGTATTATTACAGTCCTACGCTTCACAAAGGAGGGCGAATTCTATTTCAGACCTGTGCTAGCTTTCGAGATAGATGAAACTACTTCTTTCGATTGCTGCCACTGCTTTGCTGCAACAAGGCCACTGCGACATGGACCTATCTAGTAGGTTTCTCGAATTCCAGCAGTCACTTGCTATAACTGGTCAGCTAGATTGCAATGGATCTCCTGTAGCCGGCGCCCAAGTGGAGTTACGCGATTCAGGTAATTTTGAAATAATACTTTTGCGTAGCTAAAATTTGGGTTGTGTGGTACATATACAGGAGTCACAGAGAAGAAAGCAAGAGGAACCATTAAAAATGTGCTAAAAGAGATATCCCTAAGTGCAGGTTGCATTGACGTATCACATTGCTTGAAAAGCCCTCTGATCCTCCGAACGAATGGACCTGGAAAACAGGAAACATCAGCACTGCTCCCTTCGCAGCACCACTTTCCGAAATTCATGGCAGATACTAGCCAAAATATTTCATACAGGGCAATTCTGCTCGAAACTTGGCCCCGATTGCCTTTTCCCCCTGAAAACGAGTGAAACATCGGCTCAAAACGAAGGCATCCAGAATGTCAACAGTACAACGAGTATGTACAAAGTGTGAAATAGAAAAGCTCACATGATGCAGTACCCCGGCCGCAGGTTTTGGACAATTTGAGATTCCCTGAGGTGTGTCGGCGCCAGCACCTGTGATCGCCAGGGCAAATGGCACGGCAATTTTATGACGAGCATTCAGCACCAGCACCTCAAGGCATTCGTGGTCAAAATTTCGATAAAACCACATTCAGGGAAAAATTCCAACCAAAGCCTGGCCGGGCTTCCGAAAAAAAGGCAGTAAGGAGTCGATAACACTGAAACATGTTCAAGGGGTAAGGCCGCCTATTGCTGTAAAGTTCAGGAAAATTTGAGCAGCTGTTTACATACGTTACATAATGGCTTTATGCAAGCTTTTAGAGTGGGGCCTTCATGGGCCATCCGAATTAAGCCGCATATTATGAGCTTCTGCAAGACCAGTCTGCTAGAGTTGAGGGAACTGAGAGGCGCTATGTTTAGGAATGACGTATATACCGCAGCGTTTTGTGGCATCGGCGCTTCATAGCCGGAGATATCTCATTCTGAGGAGAAGACCGTTTTTATTTGTCTTCGGGTAGGAAAGGTTACTGCTAACTCAGCTTATGAAGAGCGCAGGCGGGAGAAATCCTCCCACCCTGTGAGTCACAATAGTGGAAAAGAAATTGGGAAAAGCAATGAACTGTCACCTTCAGCCGTTTCACCTCAATTCTTCTATTTTGAATCAACCACCGCTGGAATAGTATTTGCGAACACAATGTAGTGAAGTAACAATACTGAAAGTTTGATGGTGCCAACGTAGTGCAGTGGCAAGTGACCTCAATGAGGATGCCCACGCGACCTGAGGTGGGGGGAGGGGTGGGGAACAGGACTGGAGCGGCATCCGTCTCAGACAACCGAGCTACTCGTCCCTCTGACGCTACGTATTTGGTACCACACTTATGTGGGAGGATGAGAGCGATAAGAAGAGGTGTTCACTCTGTTAGGAGCTCTCCTTAAAGGAACTCTAAGAGAAGTCCCCACTTGATGTTGGGAAAAGAAATTTTGGTCGAGCAGAGAGAGAGATTCATAGTTCTGTGGAAGATCTCTATTTTGCTACCCTTCTCGCCCAAAGTATATGACAAAGTACGGAGGCAACCTTATGGCAGACCTCACTTTTATTCGTTTGCTTTTCCTTGAATTTCGTCATGCAAGCACTTCCTTCATGAAGAGTCTCCACTTACTGTTGTTCCAAAAGCTTGGTTGCCCCGATCCCTTATCAGCTCTCCGATCATCCAAATCGGCCCTTCGATCATCTAACTTTCTTCTTTATAGCCACATTTTTGAGATGTCCTTTCCAAGTCAAGTTTCCTTAATAACGATATCGACAAATCGCATTTAGTGCTCGTGCGTGCAGCGACCGCGCGGACTTGTCTAGTGGCGGACTCATCTACTATGCTTCATTGTCAACGGTTTGCTTTTATTGCAGACGAAAAAGGTGAAAAAACAACACTGGCAAAGAGCACGTCCCTCAAAAGTGGGAGGTTTTATGTATTTGGCTTCAAACCAGGAGCGGCTCCGACAATGGATCCGGAGCTCGTAATACACTACACATGTCATGCGAAGAAGGAGGTGAGTCGTTTGTGCGCAATTAGCAGAACGTTCTAACTAATCCATTTAATTATTTCACTTCTTTACCTGAAAGCCAGAAAGACCAGAAAGCGGCGAGGCTAAGCTCGTTTCTGCGCCCCCAACACAATGCGCGCCCTGGCCATTTGTGCAAGATCAAGCAACTAGGTAGCAAAGAACTGTCCGGTTGGTGCGACTGCCAACAAGGAGGTGTCTACACACCTCCTTCGATTAATGTTGAGCTACTTGGGCTATCTCTGTGACAGCGTCGCGTGTTGTGAGAATGGAGCGTTCAAGAAATTGGGTACTTCCATTGTGCTCTCCTCTTTGGAAAGTGCAAAACATCACCCGCAAGCGACCTTTCGTCAGACAGTGAGGGAGATTCGTGATGGTGGGGAAGATCCACCCAAAACACGCTCAAGCTGTCGTATAACTTGCTTAGCGTCCTCGCCTTCAAATAACGCAGGAGGTTACTTTGCAAAGCGAGTTTTTACCTCTCTGTAGACGCAACTCCACTCTTACATGAGAGAGAAGACCTACATGAAAAGACCGGAATATTTCTAACTCCCAACAGATGCAACATTTTTTTTATTGGACTAGTAGAAAAAATTAGCCGTGATTTTGTCGGAGAATCTCTTCAACTGCATCAGCCCACTACATTGCACAGGTTCCCATCAAGTTGTCCCGGAAGAATTCCAGTGAATGGCTTTCACTTGTGGTAACTGAGTAATCGAAACAGGAAGGCGCTGATTATCCGACCCTTCAGAGCTTCTTAAATAAGACTTATTCACCGCTCTGACGTCATGCGAGGTCCCGCCATGCCAGCGGAGGGGGGGGGGTAGAGCTCAGGAAAGCTTCTCAGCCAATGAGCAGCTCATAACAGTCTAAAGTTAGATGTATGTGTACACGGCAAAATGTTCTAAATTCTCCCTGGTATGGGCGTTATGGAACAAGAGGGCTTCTGTATCTCGTTGGCAATTCTCGTGGTAAATTATTTTTTTTTATCATGTGCGGCACAAAAGCTCAGTAGCTCCGGGTAGCGAGATCAACTCGAAAATTTCAATGCTGGAACCTACATACTAGTGCCAAAACCTCCCTATTTCTTCACTCTTTCACATGATTTTGACGTCCTTTCGCGAGGCATGAGATGCGTGACTCAATCCACTGCAGACGTAAACATCTCACGCCAACATAACACAAGTATTGAGCTTTTCCCCAGTATTATTGGACCGCACGAGCTTTCATTGTGAAAAGAGTGAAGAAATACGGAGGTTGAAATTTGCGCAAGCAGGCAAAATACATTGATCACTCGGGAGCACAACCGCAATTTGCCGCCTTCATGCAACTTGCTGGCGAGAGGACGTGTGCGGTGTTTTACACAAACAAGGCAAACTGGCGAATTCAATCTTACTCAGCATGATAGGACACGATGCGTCTGCACAGGATACAAGCTTTCGAACACTGCTCATCTTTTTAGCTACTGGCCCATCTACCTGACCCATTACCCTTTTTACCCATTTTCTGGGAGCAGCATTCTTCCACAACAAAGTAAGTCAGAGCTGGTGCAATACATATGGCCAGACAGTCACCATTATCTCGCAGAATAACGGTATCACTTATGCACAACAATTAATATCGATCCCGAAAAATCTGTGAGAACTTCTCCACTATATATTTGTCACCTAGTTTTTCAATTAAGAACAAGAACGTGCGATAAACGTCGTTTATTTCAACTGGACCAATTTCAGGACAATTGGCCGCAAAGGGCAGTGATCACCAAGATGCAGAGTTTCGTGAGAAAAGGGCTACAACCTGTGCCATTATTCAATATGGGATTAATCAAGCTTGCAGACCTCTCGAAATTGCACCACACTTACTAACAGAGCTTTGGAAGGGAAGGTCAACGGTCTTTTCCAAGCTCCTGCAATGATGTTGATTGCGAATAAAACAGTTCTGCACTGCCTCTCACAAAATAATGTCATTATTGAATGGTCAGTAGCCGCTTATTTAATAGGGACAGGCCTCACATCAAAGTGAAACAGTTGTCTCACCGATTTCAGGAACTTTTCCCTGTTCGCAAAGTAGTGCTTAGAGGTGCCCTCCTATTAATCTCCCTCAAGCCACCAGGCCGTTGAAGGTGGGAGCAATGACAGTGGCTTGGCCTTATAGGCCGTAGTCGTGCTACAGTTCGAGTCTTGAAGTGTTTTTTAGAAACCTTGCTATGAGAACTCTCAGAATTGCCTCAGCATATCTGAGCTAAGTGTCTGTTAAAGACAAATGGTACGATCACCCATAGTTTGGGTGTGCGTGATTATCAGCCGCGCGCAGCGCTCTTGGCACTTTGCCAAGTCTTGTAATTGCGCTTTGGAATCACCACATATATATAATTCGATTCGTTCTGTTTGTTTGTTTGCAAGTTCAACCACACACACCACACATTCATAGCACACGATACATTACACCAAGAATTTTCTTTTTCCACTAGCCGCGTGGCATCTCACCCGGAGGCGGACGGATGGATAGGTTATGGGTAGCGCGCAATGGGCTCTCATACAGAGCGATAGTTTGTGGATCGGATCGCCACGGGACAATTGCAGTCCTTCAATTCCCGCGTGTCCGTGTTAATGCATGTAGATAATAAGGCACAGTACCAAGCATAAGTCGCCCCTCTGATATCGCCCGGCCTGCGCCGGCGGGGCGCGCGCTTTGCCCAGCGCGGTGTATTAAAAAAAACGGATTACTCTGGTGATATCTCTTTCACATATTTAGACTAACATGATATATCACGTCTTTCGTTGTACTCCAACTATTTTCCTGGTGTCTGAAGTCCTTTGCAGCTATTTCGAGCAGATTCTTGCTTGGTCTGAACTCGAATCCACAGGAACTCCGGCTATGCAGGCTCGCACCCCCATAGTTTTCGCGTGCCCTTACCACATCTTCATCTCCATGGCGAACACACTCTCGTAGCTGACCTTAATCCGCTTTTTTTCCGAGATGGCTATTGTGATCCAGAGTCTTAAGTGCTCGTGAAACTAATTTTATTGCGAAGATTTAGTGATTTCTAGTATCTCAGCTTTCCCACGCTCTCTCGGAGCACGCTTCCGCCCACACTCCAATATTTATGTGTTTGCTTTGTCTGCCCAGCAGTATTCCTCTGTCAAGCGGAGCGCACCCTAGTCACTCTTTTCCGGGGAGTGCCTCTGCTTGTCGAGGTATTCTGCGGTAATCCCAAAGTCACACAGCATAAAACATGTACGACAAAACCTTAAACTGGACCATATGCCCATAGCTCCGCTCCTGCATCAGACAGCGGCGTCCCCGAGCTACTACCAAACAACTCGGTTAGAATCGACTACCACAACTATGCCAACCAAACGTATCGCTGCAGAGGCTCTCGCTGAGCGATGGTTACATTCTAGCAACTGAGCTGTATTTATAGCAGCAACACTCACATGTACTTCTCTCTAGCGACCAGGCAATAACGCTCCGTTACTAGCTACATATTTCTACTGACCCCACCACGCAACAGCCAACAGCTACCCACGCCATTCTGTTGGAGTGGCTGTCTGCCCACGGGGCCGTTAAGAAGCGTTGCTTAGTCCTGTTCGCAGCAAGTAGCTGCTCATCGCACTAATACATAACTTGTGATTCCGCTTTTTCCCAGTCTTTTTGTGCTGGCGAACTGCTCCGATAATCGTATTTGTCGAAAAATAGACCACATATTTAGCTAAGGAACCTCCGAACCGCGCCGCTCACGACGCTATATTGTTACTGAAGTTTTTGTGTGGGAGCGCCCATCTATCTTCCACTCAGGTGACCGCAGTGCGTCCTTGGATCTTTATTGAACTGGGTATTACTGCTTCTTGAAAGCCCCAAAACCTGAAGACAATTCCCGCGATTGTTCTATGCACTGGGGCTACGATAGCCCTTCGTATGAGGAGCGTAATCTCCAAAAAGCATACTTGGATAGGTCAAGTAAACTACGCTTTTATTAAGCGACTCCCTCGCGCATGCCCGCCACCTGGTATCAGACGTCCTGTCCTCGGCGCTCACGCTCGCAACTTTTCCATCGTAAGACGCATATCCTCGCCACGGAGCCCTTCTCGTCCACGTGTCTTGTCTCTGTCATATGGCGTTCGCGCTCGTTAAAATCCCATGGATTTTCCGGACACAGGAATAACACCACTCCAGTGTGATCTCGCAAAACACGAAGAAAAAACTTTCATCTACTAACGAGAACTTTTGTTTTTATTTTCATGTTTTGTGGAAATGCGCGGCCTCCGAGGGATGTTGCAGAAGCAGCACAGTTGCTCTTGAGTTCTGGCCCTCGTCATCATCTTCGGTTCTTATTTTGCAGCACCTCAAATGTTATCCGCATCAGGAAATTGCGTTTTACTTGTATTCCAAAGCGCAATTACAGGACTTGGCAAAGTGCCAAGAGCGCTGCGCGCGACACGCGCGCGGACGGCTGTTAGCATAAACGGGAGTCTGCGCCGCAAAAGGCATTGGGCGGAGCATGGAGGAATTAGCGTGTTTCACGGTCCTGTATCTCCATTCCTGCGCATGTTAGGACGGGGAAACCGCTACGCTTCGACAGCTGGGGGCTGATAGTCACGCACACCCAAACTATGTGTGATCGTACCATGAATTCAAATAAAATAGCGAGCATTGCCCTAAAATGCTGGAGGCCTGCGTCTTAACACAAATGTTTTCCGTACTTGGCTTGTTTCCCGAAGGAGTTTGCATCTATTTATCAGAACTGTAGCAATAAGAGGGTGAAGGTTCCAGAAATGGCAAGATGTGAATCTATGCAAGGGGATTCAATTGTAGCTCAGTAATAGTGAAATAATCGAACTGTACCCTGTGGCTTCTCCTCCACTTTTCGGTGTCAGGTCAGAATCTCAAAATTGGCTAGAAATTTGTATTAATTAGTTGTTGCTCATTCTCCTAAGCACTAATGTGACACCTGGTTAGCGCGAAAACGCCTGTAGCCTGAGGTCGGTCGGTGAACTTTTGAAAACGGTTTGACAGTTCGTTGCATGATGGAGGGGCCCCCGCACACATACACCCACTACACACATACACATACATACATAATACATACACATACACACATGACGTTCATCTTTGCTGAGCGTTAATGGGAATGCAAAAATGTCAAAAAAAGTTCGCTTTGAATGAGCGATTTCGACCATGTCTGTTCTAGCTCTAGCGTTGAGTATGTACAGTTATGAGCTGTTCCTTGAAAGGCATGAACAACAATGCAAAATAAGGCTAAAACTCCAGTATCTCACCTACTATGTGTTGAAGAAGTACAGAATTTTCTTCACTACCGCCTTGCATCTCATCACGGCAGCGGACGGATGGTGGTTATGGGTAGCGCAATGGGCTCTCATACAGAGCGATAGTTTGTGGATCGGATCGCCACGGGGCAAACTTTGCAGTCCTTGAATTCCCGCGTGTCCGTGTTAATGCATGCTTGATAATGTGTACAGACCAGATAAGTGTCATGTAAGGACCCCCTCTATACACTAGTGCTTCACGAATGGGCCCTACTCACCATGACTACTAATGGAGAAACTTCCCTAAAACTTGGATTGCAACAGTTATCCGATGTCGTGATCACAGATACATACGACACTCATTTTTGAATATTCCGCTGTGGTGCAAAAGCTTTCCTGCATTGAATTTATTATTAACTTGCGCGCAAGGGCCATATAACGCCATGCTGGCTCCAAAGTGCCTTGGCGCCAAAAGTAGGTGTCAGAACCGTGATCAGGGATATCAGTTACCCCTGTGAAATAGTTTCAGCAGAATATTCCTGTGAGTTTTTGGGTCAGGGCACATCGTTGTTGGGGAATCCCCAACAGGAGGGTCGTATTTGGTCGTCGGGAAAGGGGGGAGGTTATATTCGAGCTAAGATGAATTTATCTTGATAGTTAATTTTTCTA